TTCACTCTTATGTGGATCCTGAGAAACTTACCAGAAGACCGTGGCGGTGGGGAAGGAAAAAAAAAAGGGTTAGAGAGGGAGGGAGCCAAACCATAAGAGACTCTTAAAAAACAGAACAATCTAAGGGTTGATGGGGGTGGGAGGGAATGGAGGGTGGGTGATGGGTATTCACGAGGGCATCTGTTGGGATGAGCACTGGGTGGTATGGAAACCAATTTGACAATAAATTTCATAAAAAAAAAATTGTAAAGGTGTGCATTTTAATTGAGAATATGGTGCAACCTGTTTTAATTTTCAAGTCACTTTGATAACTTCACTTTTATTATACATTTTAGCATGTCTAAAATTTTTGCTTTAATTATCTAGCACCTGTTATTTTGAATGATTATATTAATTTGTCTTCCCTCATCAAATGAAATACATGACCAGAAGTTATAACTTGTTCTAGAAAAGAGCTTCCTCTTTTTCAGCTTATTTCCATGCTTATTTTGGTATATAGAGATATTAGAACTCAGATTCTTTTTATAAAATAATCAATTAGTTACACCAGCATTAAAATTTATGGGAAGGTTGCTTATCATCACTGGAAAATTTAAAGCAATTATGCTTTGTTTAATAGATGAATTATATGCAAATACCTGCTAGGTAAATTATTAAGTCAGTGAACAGTTACAGTAGATTTTCAAATTCATCATGGCATAACCTTTTTTGGGAGGAATACAAAACATTTTACGGATACTTTTAGGCCTCAGATGGATGTATGATTTTCACAATTTACCAGGAGATTATAATTTGCTCATATTATGAGGAGACCTATTGAATGAATAGTTTGCTTTGTGTCATAGATATTCCTCAGGTATAGGGAGGAATGATGCTTATTAGCTTATTATATATGAATATAGTATGTGAATATGTCTTCCAATTTTGCACTATAATGAACTCAGGCTATTAGTTGGTATTTTCAAACTGTTAAACAGTAAATGGAGACAGTATGGCATTTAGCATACGTTTTTCAATATGGGATGCATTTCTTCATATAATGTGCTTTTGTAGTCAAAAACAGCTATACCTACACCCACTGGCATTCTGATAGTTTGTAGAAGTGGGGGGGCTCCAACTAAATAGTTTATTCGTAAATAAGAGCTGATCATAAGTAAATCCACAGTAGCTTTTCTACTTAATTCTCCCTTTTACTTGTCTTAAAATGTTACCCAACCACCCCACATGATGCTGTTTTCTTTCATTCTATACTTTGACTTTATAATCAAATTAAATATTTTTCAACCTCATTTAGAATCTACTTCAGAAAGTGCTATGGAAGATTCACCTGCTACAGATCGCTTGAATTTTGACAGATTTGATATATGTAGATTGTTACAGCATGGGGCATCACTTTTGGGATCTGCTGGTGCAGAATTTGAAGTACAAGATGAAAAATCAGGTATGTAGTAGTCCGATAGAAGAAAATCTGAAATGTGTGTGTACAGACTAATTTATTACTTGGCATGCTATAATACCAGCCATGCAAAATCAACATAGATGTTACAAAATGTAAATTGACTGAAGTTTGCAGTTGGGGAGGTGGAGGCCCTGTGGGTGGAGAAGATAACCAAAAATATTTGGATCTAATGTACCATATGAATATTTTCTTTTAAGTGACTTTGTACTATATCTGTGCATTGTTAATATATACATACTAGTATTTGAACAGGCATTTTATTATGTATTAGCGAAATTATAAAGTGTGACGCAAGGGCCTCAGTTGAATATATTTTTTTCTTTCAAGTTTATTTATTTTGAGAGAAGGAGAGAGGGAAGAAGAGAGAGAGAGTCTCTAGCAGGCCCCGTGCTGTCAGCGCAGACCCCAACATGGGGCTCACATTCATGAACCATGAGATCATGACCAGAGCCGAATTCAAGATGGTTAAAACGGACTGAGCCACCCAGGTTCTCCCAGTTGAGTAGATTTTAAAAGCCTGGATTAGTACAGATTGTGATACTGTTTTCACAATTCGGGACATTTGGGAGACTGTATGACAGTTTTCTTTTTTATCATGTGTTTTAAATTTTAAATAATTGGATCTACTCATGCTGGTGACCAAAGCAAACACTAAAAATGAAAAATAAATGTTGGGTAGGTACTTGTCCCATTATCTTTAAACTTATAGAATCCATCTGGATATAAAATAATGTTTTGGCCATTCAGGATTCATGCTTTGAGTGGAAAAAACCTTGATGTTTTTGATGGATTTCTGTAAGTAAATAAGTTGCTCTTTTGCCTAAGACCAAAAGAGAACAGTTTTTGTTGCTAATAAAGTTAGTTATTACTCAAAGCATATCTGTCTAGCTAAGTTAATGAAGTGATCTTCACTTGTTCCTCTTAAAAAAAAAAAAAGGCAAACAGGGCGCCTGGGTGGCTCAGTCAGTTAAGCGTCCGACTTCAGCTCAGGTCATGATCTCGTGGTCCTTGAGTTTGAGCCCCACATCAGGCTCTGTGCTGACACCTCAGAGCCTGGAGCCTGCTTAAGATTCTGTGTCTCCCTCTCTCTCTGCTCCTCCCCTGCTCTGTCTCTCAAAAATAAATAAACATTAAAAAAAAGACAAATACCTATTAACTCTTAATATGGTTTCTTTCTTCCTTTTTTTTTTTTTTTTAAGTTTATTTATTTTGAGAGAAGGAGCAGGAAAGGGGCAGAGAGGAGAGAAAGAATCCCAAGCAGGGATTTGACTGGGGGCTCAATCCCACAGACTGCGAGATCATGACCTGAGCCAAAGTCAAGAGTCAGACACTCAACTGAGTCACCAAGGCACCCCAGTATGGTTTCTGTTGAAAGATCTTTGGTTGACCTCAGAACAACATAGGTTTTTGAAATGTGTGGGTCCACTTATATGTGTTTTTTTCTTTGATATAGTACAGTACCGTAATTATGTTTTCCTTATGACTTTTAATTTTTAATTTTTTTTCAGGTTTTATTATTTTTATTTTTGAGAGAGAGAGAGAGAGAGCATGAATTGGGGAGGAGCAGAGGGAGAGAGGGGGACACAGAATCTGAAACAGATTCTAGGCTTCCAGCTCTCAGGAGCCTGACGCAGGGCTCAAACTGTGGAATGGCTAGATCATGACCTGAGCCAAAGTCAGAGGCCCAATCTACTGAGCCACCCATGCACCCCTCCTTATGATTTTCTTAATAACACTTTTCTTTTCTCTAGCTTATTGTAAGAATATGTAGTGTATAATGTATAAATACATGTTCATCGATTGTTTATGTTATTGGTGAGGTTTCTGATCAACAGGAGACTATTAGTAGTAAAGTTTTTGGGGACTCAGAAGTTACACAGATTTTTAACTGCTTGGGGGATTGGTGTCCCTAACCCTTGTGTGTTATTCAAGGGTCAATTGTAGTTTAATTATTTTTGGAGAGAATTAAAAGGAGAATTTGGTTAAGTTCCAGAAAAGCATAGTTTTTCTAATGTGGGAGGTAGAAGTCATTTCAAAAACTTTACAATTTGAAAAAAGTTCTCTCTCAACAGTAAGCTTACTAATTTTACTATTGTCATCATATCAGAGATCATTGGTCCTTATCCAGGAGTAAAAGGCAGTGTCCCCCCTGTCACTTAAAAAAATACGTGTTTGGTCTTACCTTAGAAATTCTGATTTAATAGGTCTGTGGAGAGCTCTAGGTCTTTGTATTTAAAAGAAAAAACTACACAGGTGACTCTGATATGTAACCAGGATTGGAAACCCCAGTTTTGGGGGAACTTGGATTTTAATGATGATAAGTCACAGTATGCTCAACAGTGCTCATTTAAAATCCTCTAATTAGATTTTCTTTAAATATCTCATCTGTTTGTTTCCTCATATATGAAGGACACATACATGATTTGTATAGGTGCTAGTCTGATTTTCGTTTGCGGTTGTGTGGGTTACTTTCCGCAGTAGGACTTTGCCTGAAATGAGAAGACTGATTTTGGACTTATGTGTATCATGGACTTGTGATCCAGCAGTCTTCGCTTTTGGATGCCTAGTGTTTTTCTCTCCAGGTAGAGCAGACTTAAATTTTTAAAAAAATAGCTTTGTTGAGATATAATTCACATACCATACAATTCACTCATTTTTAAAGCATACAGTTCAGTGGTGTTTAGTATATTCATAGATATGTGCAGTCAGTTTTAGAGTATTTTCCTTATCTCAAGAAGAAACCCTGTATCCTTTGGCTATCAACCTCCTACACCCTTCTTTCTTCCCTCCCTTTCTGGGCCCTAAGCATCTTGCTGTCTCTCTAGATTTGCCTATCCTGGACAGTTCTTATCAATGGAATCATCTAAAATATGGTCTTTTGCAACTGGCTTCTTAGCAGAATGTTTCCAAGGTTTATCCATTTTGTAGTATAAGTACTTCATTTTGATTCCCTCTGTAGTTTTTATTCCTGTTATAGGATGTGTCAGTTTTTTAATTGTGGTAGACTATAGATAAAAAAATTTACATCTTAACTATTTTTAAATGTATAATTCAATAATATTAAGTACATTTACACTGTTGTGCAGATCTTCAGAACTCTGTGTTTCAAAACTGAAACTTTATACAGTAGTCTTATCCATAAAGGATACATTCCAAGACTCCAGTGGATGCCTGAAAACGTAGATATTACCAAACTCTATATATACCATTTTTTCTTCTACATACAAAACTATGATAAAATTTAGTTTATGAATTAGGCATAGTAAGAGGTTGACAACAATATCTAATAATAGAAGTATTATAACAATATACTTTAATAAAAGTTATAGAAATCTCTCTTGAAATATCTTACTGTATTGTACTTCACCTTCTTGTGATGATACGAGATGATAAAATGCCTGTTTGATGAGATGAAGTAAGGTGAATGACATAGGCATTGTGATGTAGTGTTAAGCTACTCTCTTTATTTCTTTTTTTTTTTTCAATGTTTATTTTTAGAGAGAGAGCATGAGTAGGGGAGGGGCAGAGAGAGGGGGAGATACAGAATCCCAAGCAGGCTCCAGGCTCCGAACTGTCAGCACAGAGCCTGACATAGGGCTTGCACCCGCTGATTTCTGCCAAACACCGCAGCCTGAGACTGAGCATCCAAGCGTGGGAGGCCATCACCCACAATCCTGCAGAGAGAGAGAACAGAGAACACCTTTGGCTCATTTGTGATCATGTGATGTTCAGTGTCATGTACTACTAGCATTGCAAGACATTGCTCATTTATCAAGTTAAAATTTATTAGAAATGTTTGCTTGCCTTGCAGAATACTCACAGAACAAGTTACTCGCAATCCGGGGGTTTACTGTAAAAGTTTTTGTATGGACGTGTTTTCCTTTCTCCTGTATGGCTACCCAAGAGTGAAATTGCTTGATCATGTGGAAACTATGTTTTACCATATGAGGAAATGCCAGACTGTTTTCTAAACTTGCTCTACCACTTTACATTCCATCAGCAGTATATGAGGATTTTGATTTCTCCGTGTCCTTGCCAACACTTGTTCTTAACTGATTATAACCATACTAGTTAGTGAATGTGAAGTGATATCTTACAGTTTTGACTTGCATGTTCCTGATGATTCATGACATTGAACATCTTTTCATGTGTTTATTGACCGTTTGTGTATCTTCTTTGAACTGTCTATTCACATCCTTTGCCTATTTTTTAAATGAGATACTTGTCTTTTATTATTGAGTTGTAAGAGTTCTTTATATATTCTAAGTACAAATCTCCTATTGGTGACTTACAAACATATCCTCCCATTCCGAGTTCTCTTTTTACTTTCTAGATGATAGTCTTTGAAGCACAAAAGTTAATAATTTTGATGAAGTGCATCTTATCTTTTTCTTTTCTTTTTCAAATTTTTGATGTCATGTCTAAGAAGCTATTGCCAAATCTAAGGTTATTTACTCCTGTGTTTTTTCTAAGAGTTTTAGAGCTTTAGCTCTTCTATTATCATGTATTTGACCCATTTTGAGTTAATTTTTGTGGTGTTGTGAGGTTAAGGGTTTAACTTCATTATTTTGCATGTAGTTAACCTGTTGTGTCAACACCTTTTTTGAAAAGAACTTGATGATGTTGGCACCATTGTTGAAAACCAATTGGCCATAGAACTGGCCAATTTTATTTCTGGACTCTCAGTTCTGTTCCACTGATGTCTATCTTTATGCCAGTATCTCATTGTCCTGGTTACTTTGGCTTTGTGATAAGTGTTAAAATCAAGAAGCTTGAACCTCCAGTTTGTTTTGTTTTCTTTTGTTTTCTTTTTCAGGATTGTTATGGATGTTTCTGGTTCCATATGAATTTTGGGATCAGTTTTTCGGTGTCTCCAGAAAAGTCAGCTGGCATTTTGATAGGAATTGTGACTCTGTATGAGTTTGGGAAGTATTACAGTCTTAATGATAGTAATTGTGTTATGATCCATGAACATGGAATGTTTTTTCATTTACTTAGATCTTTAATTTCTTTCACCAGGATTTTTGTAGTTTTCAGAGTATAAGTTTTAAGTTTTGCTTTTAATGATATTGTAAGTAGAATTGTTTTTTTAATCTCATTTTCAGGTTTTATTTCTTTAGATCTTTTTTTCCCCCTCCCTGTTCTTCAGATTGGGTACTTTTATTCCTCTCATCTTTAAATTCACTTATGCTTTGTCTGATATTTCCATTCAGACGTTAGGCTCACTCTGATTTTTAAAATTTCAGATTCTGTATAGTTCAGTCCAGATCTACTTTTCTTTTTTTTTTTAAATGCCTTTATTGGCATATTTTGCACATCATATAATTCACCCTTTACAAGTATATGGTTCTTTCAGCTTCTTTTTTATAGTTTCTGTTTCTTTCTTTCTTTTTTTTTAACTTTAATTTTTTTTTTTATTTTGAAAGTGAGCATGAGCAGGGGAGGGGCAGAGAGAGAGGGAGAGAGAATCCCAAGCAGGCTCCCTATGGTCAATTTGGAGTCGTATGTAGGACTCAAACCCACAAAGCACGAGATCATGACCTGAGCCAAAGCCAAGAGTCAGATGCTGGGGCACCTGTGTGACTCAGTCGTTCAAGGTGTCCGACTTTGGCGGTCTGTGAGTTTGAGCCCCGCGTTGGGCTCTGTGCTGATGGTTTGGAGCCTGGAGCCTGCTCTGGATTCTGTGTCTCCCTCTCTCTCTGCCCCTCCCCTGCTCACACACTCTGTCTCTCTCTTAAAAAGAAACATTAAGAAAAAAAAACTTAAAAAAAAAAAAAAAAAGAGTCTGACACTTAACCGAATGAGACACCCAGGTGCCCCTATGGTTTGTTTCTTTATTGAGGTATTCTATATTCTCATTGTGACAGTATCTTCCTTATAAACCATTGTTAAACTCGCTGTTTAAAAATCATGTGTTCTAATTCTAACATCTGGGTCATCTCAGAGTTGGTCTTTCGTAATTTTCTTTTGAGAGTGGGGTACATTTTTTGATTCTTTGTATGTTGCTTAATTTTGAATTCTGCCCCTCACGTGATAAATGCTATATATATTGTTTAGGCTGGATTCCGTTATATTCTTCGAAAAAAGATTTTGGTTTGATTTTTTTCTTTTTTTGCTTGTTTTAGCAGGCATTTAATTATGTGAAACTCAAATTGCAATTCCTCTGAGATGGGCAACAGCTCAAATCTCAATTCACTTTTTAGCTTTAGCTGGACTGTTGGGAGTCTGCCATGTGCTCACATAGTTTATAATTAAGCTAGAGTTTTAGCTGAGGTTTTACAGAATTTGGGTCTTCTCTCTGGCTCTCTCTTTTTTGGGTTTTCTTTACCTTTCAGTGGCTATAGTGAACTTTAACTCTTTTTCCTCTAGTTCCTCAAACTAGAAAGACTGGAGGCTCTTTT